CGGCCCTACCTCCTCAACTCCTCCTTGTTTTGCCTATATAACTGAGCCCTAAGTCCATCTGCGGACTTCTCTACTATCCTACCCTGTCTATCATACATTTTACCCCCTACCTCTAAGATCTTCCCTGCTGCCTTATCCTCAAGAAACTCGAGACAGTCCAAAGCATGATGCACGCTTCTCTTGCAGTAGAAACATAGTTGATCAACCTTCCTCTTGAACTTCTTCTTCCTGGGCTGAAGAGGTGGTGATGAAGGAGATCCCGCCAAGGTACTGATAACCCCCTGCTGCTCTGCTTGAGGAGCTGCGGTACTTCCTGCCGCTCTGTCCCTGGAACTGGTCCATCAGACCCAGATCCAGTAGCCCAAAATCCTAGTCCGCCTCTCAAATCCTCTGTCGCTGGAACGTACTCGGGCGTGTCCAACCTCTGAGGCCTCCTCTCGAGCGCCGCCCCTGGCACTGCCGTGGGCGGCTCCTCAATCTCCTCTGGTCCATACTCAGGTGTGCCTATCCTCTGGAGTCTGCCCTCGATGGCACCCTCCTCCTCAATCCCTATCTCTCTCTCAAGAGGCTCCTCTATCCTCTGCTTAGGTGAAAACAAACTCACCTCCTCCTGCATAGTATGCACCGCCTCAAGGAGCACGCCCATGGATCCCTCTGCCGAGCCCTGAGCCGGCTCACTGCTAGATGGTGGCAGCCCCTCCTCTTCTGCCAAAGGTACGACTGGGCCTGCCGCCGCCACTGGCAGCGTCGCGAGCTCAGTAGGGGCTCTAAACTCGAACGCCTCTCTCTCTGCCTGTCTCTGGGCTCTTGCCTCCTCTGGCTCCAGGATAACTCTCCCCATAGACGACTCCTGGCGAGGCTCTGTTGCAGATGCTGTCCTGGCAATCCTTGTCCTGGCTGCCTCTGCTCTCCCTGCCGGCTGCTCTCTAGTCTGTCGACCTTTCCCTGGGTTTGCTGCCTCAGGCTCTCAATGATAGCTGCCTGGTTGGCCACCAAAGCCCTAAGTTCCCGAATTTCCACCTCCATAGCCTCCAGACGTACTCCATGGCTGGCTTCCTTCATTTTCTTCCCCGCCAGATCGCCCTCCAATAACAAGTGCCGGTCAAAAGTGGCCTTGGCGAGAAACTTGACTTTACGATCTAACCTTTCTTCCGCCTTCCTGGCCACCCCAAACTCGGCTCTAACTGGCGATGGAAGCTCCTCTCCTCTCTGCTCCCATAAGTCTCTCCACATTTCAGGAATTTCCGGGGCCTTGGCTGGCGCGCTGGGTGGCTGACACGGGAGTGCTCCTGCTGCCTTCGATCTCTGCCTCTCTTGCTGCTGCTCAGGGAGCTCCCCCGCTGCCTCCAACCTCTGCCTCTCCTGCCATATCTCATCTATCCGCCTGGTTCGTCTCGCCCTCTTTTCTTCAGCCGTCTCTCCAGCTGGCACCCTTTCTCTCGTGCGGAGGTCGACCCTCTTTGGGATTTCTGCTTCCATCTCCTACTCGGGCTGGCATGACTCCTGGCGTGGCTCTGCAGGTGCTGGCTTCTCCAGGTCTGGGTGCTCCAGGGCATGAGCTGCTAGGTGCCTATCAATCAGAATCAAAGCTTCTCTCCTTACAGCTGCCCTCTCTCTCCTCCTTTCTGCCCTCCCTTCTGGCGAAGGAGCCTTTTCCGACGAAGGTAAAGGGGTCTCCTCTTTCTGCAACCCCTCATTTGCCTGTCGGGTGCTCCCTGGTGCATCCCCGAGTCTCAAACCCACTGCTGACGTCTGTGGGGGCGTGTCCTCTCCAACCCCTATCACTTCCTTCCCTGCACGTCTCCCCTCATCGCCCAACCTTCTCTCTCGCTGAGTACCCCGGACCTCTTCCTGTGGTACCTCCTCTCGTAGCACCTCCTTTGCCTGCTCTCCCTGAAGCGACGCCCTCCACCGAGAAATATCTAAATGCATCTCCAATTCCCTCAAGGGCCCCTCTGACGCTGGTGGCTCCCCCTGTGTGTGTGCTGGCGACCTCCTCAATCCACCCGTTAGTAAAACGATGGAACTCCACTGGCCCCAACCCACACTCAGGGTATGCCCCTCGCTCCTCATCCTCTGGCTCCTGTTCTCTCCTGGCTAGGGTCTTCCGTCCTCCTCGAGATGGTCTCGCCTCCCTGGGCTCAGGGTCCCTCGGCCTCTGACTCCTCTGCCGCCTCTCGACTCTGGGCTGAGGGAGCTCTGGCCGTCGAAAGGCCTCTCTCAAATGTGCCCTACAGCTTTCCCAATCTCGTGCCATATCCCTGATCTGCATAGCCAGTGGCCTTTCCGCCTTCCTGGTCCCGAGTGGTAGTGTCTGCATCCAATCATCTCTCGGTATGCCCTGCTCTTGCATGAACCACTCAAACGCGGGGATGAAGTCCGACVCATTTCCAATCTCCAGGCGGATCGGCCTGCCATCAAGTCCCACAGGCGAGGGTCGCAACTCCTCCATCCTTATCTCCACCTCCTGCCTCGTCGTCGCCTCCCTACGAATCCTGGCAATGGGCTCTTCGAACCTACCTGCTCCCCTCAATCTCTCAATCGCCTGAGTGACGAACCAGCCCGTACGCCTCGCATTCTCCCAGAAACTGTTCAGGAATAGCTCGATGTCCCCATCATTGTAGACTGGAGTACTCTCTCGTTGGCGAGGCCCATGCCGCTCATATCCTCYTGATGCGCCCAACGGCCTCTGAGGCGGCCGTGTCCCCTTCCCTCCTCTTGGCATGGCTGTCTTCGTAAAGTCAGACCTGCACAACAGGCGAAGGAGACAACAGGCACACGTTGGGGTAAGCAAGCAGGTGATAATCAGAGCAAGCTCAGACCAGACCACACTTATGCAGCATGCATCCTTCCTAACCTACACACCCTGTTTCTTCTTATTCTAGGGGCGGTCATGTCATCTCTCTTACCTCTTTTCTCGCCACGAATTTCTTCAGTCGCGTTCCAGATACCCAATCCTTCCACTCAGTCCCATTTAACTCCTTGATCTGGTACGCTCCGAAGTTTCCGACCCGTGCAATTCGGTAGGGACCTAACCATCTCTTATCGAGCTTCCTGGACCACTGCTTCTCCAGCGACGTATCGTAGAGAAGCACGACATCCCCGACTGCCAAGGGTACTTTTCTCACTCGCGCAGACTGATCCCATCGGGCCTTATCATCCATACGGCTTCTCGCCACCTGATCAGATGCCTCCTGGATCCTTTCTTCTATCGCCCCGACCTGCCGCGCCCGAATATCGAGCAACTCTTCAAACGACAGGTTGACTTCCAGATCCCGGCGCCTCCACGTCTTAAGAAAGCTTTCGATAGGGAAGGTGGCATGCCTTCCGTACCACAGCGTCGCAGGTGCGTACTTGGTAGATCTCTTTACTGTAATGTTCTCGACAAAGAAAGCCGCCCTTAGGTATCTTGGCCATTGACCAAGCCTACCTTCGGTCCATTTGGCCAGGATGTTCGTAATGGTATTATGTCCTCTCTCTACGGGAGCATTTGCCTGGGGGTGCGCGGCCGTGGTGTAGTTGGCTGCCACACCATATCTTGCTAACAGTTCTTGCACCTCCTGACAGGTAAACTCTAATCCCCTGTCCATTACGAATTCCCTGACAAAAGGATAACGCAGGTAGTACTCCTCGATGCAGCTCACCAGGACTGACCCGGTCTTTGTGCGAATAGCTCGTCCGTCTACGAACCCAGACAGGTTATCACGCGCATCGAAGATATAGTTATGGCCCTGATCCCCAAGTGGCATAAAAAGTAGATCGAGATGCACTACGGCCCCTACCTCTCGCTCTAGCCTGGGATGCAGCGGCTCTCCTTGCCTTAAACGGGATCTTTCCTGGCAAGGTACGCAAGATCGCCAATACTTTCCGACCATATCCATCATCCCACCCCAGTAGTACAGCTCACTTATCTTGGCATACGTGGCTTGTACCCCTCGATGTCCTCCTGCAATACCATCGTGAAGCGCTGCTACGACGTCGATCTGACAATTCCTACCGCAGACGACTCTCCTGGGATTCCCCATTTCCCTTCTCACGAAAAGGTGACCGTCTCGCACTAAGTAGCGCTGCAACATCCTTTGAGCCCTATCGCTCGCATCTCTTAGCCGCATTTCACATGATAGAAGAAGCCCCAGCTTTAGGTAGATCCCGTCGTACTCCTCTGCACGAAAAGCTTCCTTAATTTCCCCTTTCCCGAACTCGTCGTCCTGGCTCTCGGGTATTTCGTCCACATTCCCTGCCGGGTTCAACGAGCCTGACGAGTCTAGGCTTTCCTGCAATAACGTATTGACGAGGAGATACATTTCTCCCATTAGGTCCTCATGTCGTTCTACCTGGCCAGGTCCTTCCTCAATCGTCCTCATATCCTCCACCAGGCTATGCGAGCTGGCCAGCGCTAATTCCATCATCCACTGAACATCCTTACCACCCCAAGGATCCTCTTCTTTAAAGGGCTTAAGGACTAACTCATTCCTCCTTTCATACCCCTTTGGCGCTTGCCAGATATGATAGCCTACACAGCTAGGCACCCGCGGCGACCATTTGTTGATATAAAGACGAACATCTTCTTCCTGATCCAGAAATCCATCAACTGGGGGCGTATTCTCCACCGCCTTCCCTTCCTGCTTATCCCAGTTGATCCGACTCAGCCCGTCCGCCCGGTTCTTACTACCAGGAA